CTGGGGTGCGCGCGCTCATAAAAATTTTTACAGAAAAAGAGCCCCCCCCCCCCCCCCCACAAAAACCCCCAGGGGCCCCCCCCTCCCCCCGCGCGCCGCCGCCTGCCTGGGGCAACCCCTCCATCCTCCCCGCGGGCGCAGCATGGACTCGCTGCTCCACGTCCGGCTACAGGTGCGACGGACAACGAGTCTCAGCCACAACGCAGCTCGGTTCAAGGGCTTCCCCGCCAGTCCCTGCGTGTATGTTGTCGTCCGCTACTGCGACAACGCGGTGACACGGACCAACAAGCTCTCGACATCGCTCCCTGTCTGGCTCGACACGGCCTCGGCTGCCTCGGCTGCCTCGGTCTCCAAGCGCCATCCGGCCGTGGCGAGCTTCATGGCTCATTCGACCGACGCGCCACTCGCTTTTGAGCTTGTTGCTGCCAAACGGCTGCGAAGGACGTTGTGCTCGCCCGCGCAGAGTGCGCTGTCGGCGATCTAGTTCCTGGCGCAGAGTGCTCGCTCCCGCTAGTCTCGCTCCTGCCGCCGGCTTCCAATGCTGAGTCGGCCTTGGGCGGCCCAGCCGCGAACCTCGTCGCCGACCTCATCGTCTTTGTAGTGCCATCGAATGACGCCGTCATGACCCCACTCGATGCCGAGGAGCTCGACGCCATCTCCACCACTGATCTTTTTGCCTCGGGCGCTGCCGTCCAAACCGCTCGTGCCGCCGCCCACGTTCGCATCAAGGCCTCGGCCGCCGCCGCTGCCTCGAGCTTTGACGGCAGCCCGCAGAAGCTTCCGCCCCCGCTTCGTGCCCGCCTCGATCAAGTCTTTGACATGCTTGCCGGCGGAAGCTCGTCCTTTAAGCTCAAACACGCCCTCACCTACATGCGCCACGCGTCCGCCGTCTCCTCGCTCCATGCCTCGGTGCCTGCCGAGTCTGCTGCCGCCGGCCTCATGGCCTACTTTGGCGTCCGCTCGTCGCGTGGCAAGGTCTCACGCGGCAAATGGCTAGAAGGCCTATGCAAGGCCTCCATCGGCGCCTCTATTGACGACACTGGTGTCGCAAAGGGGCTCTCGTGGTTCAATGTCTTCTTTCCACTCCCGCCACCCACCCAACCGCCGTCGGACCCCGGCCCCGACTCGGGCTCGCGAGAGCGTGCCCCGTCGTCATCATCGTCGTCGTCATCGTCGACATCGTCATCGTCGTCAGCATCATCGTCACCAGCATCATCGTCACCAGCATCATCATCGCAGGCTGGGGCAGCAGCAGCGGCTGTTGCAGCCATTCCGCATGAGCCCGACTCCGGCTTTGCCTCGGCCTCGTCGCCGGCGCAGTCCTCGTCAGACTCGGCCTCTGCCATCTCGTCCAGTTCGGACACCTGGGAGCTCGACTCTTAGCTCATGCCAGTGGTTGATGCCGCTTACGCTCACCAACCTCCAGCACCGACTCCTCATCCCGCCTCCGCTTCCGTTTGCGGCTTCCTTCTCCGCAGAGCCCATCCAGGCTGAGCTTGGCCAGGTCTTGCTTTCGCGACCACCGAGCGCCAAACGCTGACGGCGTCACATGCGCTGAAGGGTGATCTGCCACGCAGAGCCACACCGACGGCCGATCGTCACTTGCGCCATCTGCTGCGCCTGCAGGCAGTGGCATCACCGTCGCCAGCGCAGCCGTTAGCGCACGCGGTCCGGCTACCGCCACGTCCGCCACAGACGGCAGCTTGGCCACCCGGTCCATCCATGCCTCCACCGCACGCGTCGGCGACTTGGCCACTGCTGCGGCGTCGAGGACCACAGAGTGCACGTACGCCGCAATCGCATCGAGCAGTACGGCTTGTTCGATGCGAGCCAGCCGAGGAGCGCCCACGCCGAGGAGCGCACTCAACCCGGCGAGAGCTGCATCCGGCGAGAGCCGTGCCCGAGGTACAGCAATGCTTGCCAGCAGCGCCCGGCTCGCGTCAGCCTCCTCACCGCCGCCTCCACTCGCTGCCGCCTCCGCCAGCGCCCTGAAATCGAGCGCGTCCACTCCAGACCCACCCACCGCCATAACGCGAGAGAGGACCGACACTGCAAGCGCATCGAGACTCAGAGCGGCATTCACCACAGCGCCCAACAGTCTCGGCTGGAGCGCGATGACCCCCAGCCCAGCTACGCTACAGCATCGAGCCACCGCCCGCCACACTTGGTCGAGCGCAGAAGAGTCTGCGACCTGGGCCACAGCAGCGACCATCGCTTCCGATGACCAGAGCCCCAGCGGATCTGCGCGTGCCGCCACAAGCTCGGCCGCAGTAGCGGCACTCTGCCCCGCAAGCTTGGCCAGGAGCTCAACGCCGCTGCCATCCCCGATTGCCGCCTCCATAAACTCAGTGCGATCGACATCGGTCTCAGATGCTGACCAGAACGCGTCACGCACAAGCGGCACGTCGAGCACCTCGCCCAGACGCGGCACACCCTTGACAAGCGCCGCCAGCTCCGTCCTCGGTACAGCTCCCAGAAGAACAGCCAGCACAGGCTCGTCGATGTCCAGCTTTGAGTCGCGGAGCGAGAGTGCTGGCGCATCACTCACGCTCACCGCATGAACCAGGCTGGCCAGCCCGAGGCCTGCCGCGAGATACACGCCATCCTTGAGCTGCGGACCGCGGCCGGGCGCAAGATTGGCCATCGCCGCCGAAAACGCGCCCGCGACTCCCTCGGTGCCAGCCTCTTCTGCCAGCCCGCCCAGGACGCCGCAGCAGAGCCCAAGACATGCACGACTGCCTTCAGCCATCGCTTCGACCACAGAAGCCACTGCGGCGCTCGGGTCGACCCCTGTGAGCGCCGCCTCCACCTTGCCACGGGACGCCATCGCCAGTGCCGCCACCAGCTCTGGGTTCGGCCCGACGCAAGGGAGCGGGTCGCGGCTAGAGCTACTGGAGCAACGTTCGACTCCAAACGCCCGCATCAGCGCCTTGATCCACACACGGACGAATCCAGCTTCGAGCCATGGGCCCGGAGCAGCACTGCGGTCGGGCATTGGGCTCGAGATGGCCGGCAGCGCGGCTGCGCGCGCAAGCGTCGACACCACCTCGGCTGTCGGCGCCTCCACCAGCTCATGGACAACGACCGGGACCAAATTGTCGTCCGGCGCGAGGCCGGCCACCAAACTCGCCACAAGCGCACTTGGCGCAGCCGCCAGCCGGCGAGCCTCGTTCTTGCGCACAGTCAGACTCAGAAGCTTGGCGCGGCGCTCACGATTGGCGGCCGCGATGGGGTCGGCATCAAGCGGAAAGGCCATAAGAAGGTCAGCTGGCCAAGAGTCCCAGCGCGGCGAGTCGCGCGAGAGCTGCTGCGCCGTGCACGCCCGGTCGAGCGCAGCATAGTCGAACAGCCCGCGGCTCGCAAGCACCCCATACAAAACAAGCAGCCGGTGGAGGGGCGCCGTGGAGCGAGAGTCAAAGAGCGGGCGGCCGACGGCGTGAAGGCTCTCCAGCAGTGCCACATGCAGGTGCTTCGACCGCACATCGCGCGCGCGGACAAACGACGCTAGTGCTCCTGCCACGCTGATGCACCGCGCACGCAGCGTGTCTTCGGTCGACTGCGCCGGCGTCTTGCACTCGACTAGCCAGCGGACAAGGATGCCGACAGCATCCGGGAGCGCACGGCTCTTCCCCCAAGCCAGCACGGCGTCGTCGATCCGACGCGACTGCGAAGTGAGGATTTGAGCAAGCGTTGGCGGAGGCGGCACGCTCTTGGTTAACGGCTGCGTCCCTTCCGGTTTCCCAAACAGCGTCGCGCGCGCGTTCGCCACCGGCGCGTAGGCGGCGGTGAGCGAGAGAAAGCCGTGTGTAGACTGCGCCGCCGGTGGATCAGACCCTAGCAGGGACGCATCCAGCAGCGGTGCCGGCGCATACACAAAGAGGCGACTTGCTCGCAAGACAAGGGTGTGGACAACGGCGCGGGCGGCGGTTATGGGCGAGTGTGGAGTCGGCGCGGCCCGTGCCAGATCGGCCATCCCCTTCAGCGTCGTTTGCAGCAAGAGCTGCGCGAGGTGGCTCTGTGCCACAAACTCAGGTAGAAAGACCGAGATGAGCGAGTACGCGGCGGCAAACGTGACGGACATCGAGCCTCCGGGCGGCAGGAGATACTCGATCTTGTCCGGTGCCACCGCTCCCGCGAGCGTGCCGGGGCGATCGCAGAACGCCTTGGCCGCCTCGGAGAGCGCAGCTTCGGAGGCAAGAACGGTCGACCAAATCTGGTTGAGCGAGCGGAGCCAGTAGTCGAGGCTCAGCATGCCGACCTCGGCATGGAGCGCAAGCGCGAGGTCGACGGTGTACGCCCACATTTCGGTGGCATGTGGCGACGCGTCGACGCTGCCGCGGCCCGTCGCCTGTGGGGCGGCGTTCTCGGACAGCAGAGAGTTGGACTTGAGCGGCAGAGAGATGTCCTTGGCGACTTCGCCTCCAGGCTCGGAAAAGAACGACTTGATGTAGAGCGCAAGCTTTTTGGTCAGATCCAGCGAGCGGAGCGGATCGGTCGCCTGGGCGCGGGCAAAGTGGGCACGGAGGAGCCAGAGCGCACGGAGCCGCGGGACCCGCGACCGCGCGAGCGCGTAGAAGATGTTGCCCGACTGAATGCCGCGCGGGATAAAGGTGAGCGAGGCGAGCGGGACGGTGCGTGGCGGCTGGGCGAGCCGATTCATAAACAAGACAGCGTTGGACGCTGCTGCCTTGGGCAGCGCCTCGAGTGCTGCGACAGCATCGGCCGGCTGTGTCGGCTCAACCAGCGGCGGCGGGCGGCTTGCGATGGCGGCGTCGAGCTCGGCGCGCGCCGGCCCGAGCTTGGTCGGCAGCGGGGCATCGGCGTGGCGGCAACGGATCTGCATCGAGCCGAGCCGCGGTAGCGGCGGGCGGTAGCCCTTGGCCACATTCTCCTTGGTCACCGCACACTCGGCTGTGTCGAGTGCCAGAGGATAGACGTCGCCGTACACCGGGCCAGCCCGCCCGAACCGGAGCAGCGGGGCGTGGGCCACCGGGGCTTCCCGCCACGGGTGTGCCGCAAAGTAGTGCTTGCTCATTATCCGCTAGCCACAGTGGCGAGTCGTGTGTCCTCCCGCCCCCCTCCCCTCCCTTCTTCACACCCTCGGCCACTCACCGACTGCAAAAGGGGACATCCGTCGTTCGTTTCGGCTGGCAGGCGACCGACCGAGCCGAGCCGAGCCGGGCGGACCGAACCGAGCGGACCGAACCGAGCGGCCATTGCCCGCTGCGAAACGACCCGTGGCCAACTCCAGCCACCTCCGCCACCACCACCTCAGCCGCCCCCCGGGCAGCCGTCTACACCCCTCCTCCCCTCGCAGTTAAGATGACTCGGAGGTGCGCATAGGCATCGTCGGGGGTGTGGGAAGGGGACTTGGCAGGGTTACGTCCACTCACTCTGTCTTTGAATCTATATACGCCGCCGACCGTGCCGCTATATGGCAGTCTGCTCCCGACTCGACAGCGCCTGGAAGGCCTGTCTAGAACTGGACGTTTCGACCTTGACTTCGGTGCCACTAAGCG